CAAGGAAAAGCAAGTCAGGAGGACAAGTAGCCAGAAAGAGAGTGTGAAGATAAAAGGGAACGTCAAGAGGAGGAGGGAGGAGGGAGGAGGGAGGAGGGAGGAGGGAGGAGGGAGGGAGGAAGAGAGAGGAGGGAGGAGGAGGAGGAGGAGCTGCTAGAGGGAGGGAGGACCATACCTCTGCCCCACTGGTTTGCCATGCTGGATCCTCCCAGAGTTCTCTGATGTAGAAAATCAGACATGCCGACCATGAAAAAGCTGTTTTCTAGAGTGACGATGATGATGATGATGATGACGACGACGACGACGACGATGACGATAATGAGGAGGAGGAGGATCAGATAGGGGGGACGAGGGATGCAGGAACAGGCAGGAGCAACGGCCAGGAAGCGGACGAGAAAGGGGAGAGGGAGGACGAGGTAGCAATGGAGGAGGAAGACCTTGTTGTCAAGTTGCAGGAGGGCCCTGGAGATGTCGTCGGATGTGATGGGAGCCTGGGGGTATCGCGGAAGACCTCGACGGCTTTCAGCTCGGTGTTTCCCAGCTCATCAACAGGCGCATCTCACCAGCTAGAGGTGTTGGCCCAGCTGACGGGGTTCCTCGCCTTCCGTCCCTCAAGCTGTCGAAGACCGACTCCCTCACCTCCTGCTCGTTGTCAGCTCCCCCCCCCTTCCCCACCTTCACTTCTCTTTCCTTCCCCCCTCCTACTCCCTCTCCCCTCCCCCATCCTCCTTCGATTCCCCATCTCCCCTTCCCTCCCTCTTCCAACTGGCGCCCACCATGGAGGACGGGCGAACGACCCCGGGAGGAGGGGCGTGAAAGTCCTGCTGAGGGGTTAGCGAGCGAAGATAGGGAGGAGGTGAGAGCAACGGAGAGGCCAAGTAGGGTCGAGCTGGACTTGGTGCCGGGGCGGGAGAGAAGGCCGTTAGGGAACCTCGCCGTCACTTCCCCAGTTGCGCTGCTCGTGCTCCGCGCAGTGAGGAGAGCTGAGGATCGAATAAGAGGCGGGACCGTGAGGGGAGAGGAGGGGAGGTACCTGGGGTCCTGCTGGGGGTTCTGTTGGGGGTGGCGGAGGGCATGTAGGAGTTTGAGCTGGCAAGGCGTTGGGAGAAGGCCTGGCGACTGGGAGTGCCGTAGGGGGACCGGCCGAACTCGTCGAGTCCTGCGACGGGAGAGCGATGCGGAGCAGGCTGAGTTCCTTCGAGGACGATTCTTGTGAGCCCCTCCTTCTCTTGCACCAGGTCCGCCACCTCCCGCTTCAGCTCTGCAATCGCCTGCTGCAGTCCCGTCACCTGCGTCGTCGTCTCTGCCAGGCGCGACTCAGCATAGACTGCTCGCTCCTCTGCCAGTCTCCTCATCTTGCACTCCTCCACGTGCCGCTGCTGCATCCTGTCCTGCTCCTCGCACGCCTGCTTGTAGCTCTCCTTGCTGTGCGTTAGCTCTCCGGCCGCCCTCGCGTGCTCCGACTTGAGGCTTCTGAGCTCCTCGCTCACGTTTCTCAGCTCCCCGCTGCACTTGCCAAGCTGGTCGTGTGCCTTCTGGAGCGCCAGCTCCAATTCCTTCACCCTTTCCGCCTTCCCGTCCTGCCGCTGGCTGACTGCATGTGCATGCTCTTTCTTGAGCATCTCAATCAGCTTCCGCTGCTCAGCATTCTCCGCCTTCGTCAGCGCCAGCTCCTTCCCCACCTCACTCAAGTGGATGCTGTACTCGTTGATCGCTAGGTTGTTGGCCCGGAGGTCACCGTGCAGCTTCTCGATGAGCTCCTCCTTCTCCCGCATGCCCTGAAGCATGCTCTGTACCTCCTTGTCCTTGGCCTCCATCTCGAACCGGCTCCGCAGAATCTCAGCATCAACAGCTCTCTTCCTTCCACCGTCCGCGTCCAAGTTATCGTACACTTTGTCGAGGACCTTGAAGGTGCTCTTGTTACTCTTCTCTCAACTTCCTCTCTGTCCTCACCTTCGTCAGCGCCTTGTTCAGCTCCTCGTTGAGGGCTCGAGACTGAACTTCCATCAGGCTCGTCTCCTCTCCCCACGCCTCTCACCTCCACAAGTGCGCTCTGAAGATGATTGATCTCTACCTTCATCCAGCTGCAGGTAGTGGTCAGGAAGAGCTGGGAAGTTCCTCGTCTACCTCAGCTCGTTCTTGAGAGCTGCCGTCTGCCCGTCAGGAGAATTCCCCTGCCCCCTTGCCTATGGAGCAGGTCAGGAGCTCGGCTCTACTTCCACTCCCTTCTACCTCATCGTTTCCGACAGACTCTGACTTGAACTTGAACCCCTGCTCGCACCTGAGCGCCTCCCCCCCCCCCTCCCCTCGTCGCCCTCCACCTTACCTCTAGCTGCTCAAAGATGTTCTTGAACGCGGAGTCTAGAGCTGTCCGGACGCTCTGGAAGGTTTCGTTCTCTGCCATGGAGTAGTGGTCATACGAGACGTCAGTTGCTGTTTCCTCCCTCTCTAGATTGCTGTATCGGCTCTCCTGCACTGCCAGCTGGTCTAGCATCTCCTTGGCCCGCGCTAGAGGCTCCAGGCAAGGCCACCGCTGATAGCAGGACGCATCCCTGCTGGACTCCAGCTCAAACCCCCTGGCTAGCTGGACATTCTTGGGCGTTCGCGGGGTGGTGGGCCAGAGGCGGGCTTCAAGGTTCCTCTGGGCGATCTCGTGCTCAAGATCTTTGATCCGCCGGCGAGCAGCTGACAGCAGCTGCTCCAACCCCTCCATCTCCGAGTCTTTGTTGGACGTTATGTCGACCTGGAGGGATTGCTGTCCCCTTCCGATCCGTTCCAAGTTCAACTTGGGCAACGGGCTGGTGATAAGTCAGTCAGGTTCAGCCTTGTGGATTGGGGAAGGGAAGGAGGAAGAGATAGCGACGATGAGGTTACCTCCCATTCACCGCAGTTCCTTGGTCGAGGCTCAACGCTTGCTTGCGAACCAAAGCCACGTCCTTCAACGCAGTTGCTCCGTTCATCGTAGTTCTCACCACGAGATTGACTGTCGTACCAAGAGGGCCGACCACCATCTCCATCACCTCCTGGTATGGAACCCCATGAGCCGACTGTCCGTTGACAACCTCGATGATGTCTCCTATCACTATCGCCTTCGACTCTGCCGCTGAACTTCCTTTAATGACATCGATCACTATGTTCTCCCCGTTGATCTGCCTGAAGACGATTCCGACCGAGCCCATGTTGTTCTGCGGAGGACTGGAGCGCCTCTCCGAGAGCATCTGATATCCGACATTGCTCGCGAGCATGTGAGATTGTTCTGCTCCGGATCGAAGAGAAGACATGGAAATCTCTGAAGGACCGAGGGACCTATGGATGAACGACATGACCTTGCTCCTTGCTCCTTGCTCCTACTGTTACAGACACCCTTCAGCCAACATGCCTTCGATGGGCTGCCGATGCTGCAGCCGCATCGTGTTCGTTCTCCCTGTGCTCCTTCGCTGTCCTCCTTGGTTCCTTCTCCTTCGCTCCTCCGCTGTAAGTGGTCAACGTTTTTTTGGGGGAAACTTGAGTGGAAGTAGGGGTACTTTTGAGGGTATTTAGGGGGGTGATACTGTGATATTCGGAGTGGTTTAATAGATAAACGCCACGAATCTATCTACCACGGGTACTCTCCCTCATGATGTGACGGAATATGTGAATACCCTTCTGAGCGACGAACTAAGTTTTCGCACAGAACTGCCGTCGTATGATTGAGAGCCGCGACTCTCCGTCATACAACGGCAGTTGTTTTTTTTTGCCAAATTGTCTTCGGATGTTGTTGGAGCCTTACATGAATCCTACCAAATGATGCCAGTCAGTCACTTCAATGATCACATGTCGTAAACATCGGATCATAATGGAGGCAGGCACCGGGCAGGCAGGCAGGCAGGGAATTAGGCATCGAGTCCCGAGGGACGCAGTCTGGGTAGGGAGGGGGCGACAACAATCATTGAATTCACCTCAGGGGCGACGTAGGTGATTCGGTCTTTCAGGAAACACATTGAAACAAGTGAGTATATTCAGTGCAGCATTCAAGTCCCTGGATTTGATCGGCTTTCCTTTACAGCTGTCACGATAACAGTTAGATGAAAAGGTGAATTACAGGAGTATACAAAACTTGACATTACCTCGATGATCTGCAAAATTTCAATCCTCGTACTTCACTTTTCCTTGTTTTCAACCTACAGGTCTCGTCTGGTTCTTTCCCTGTATTTTCAATCCGTCGAAGCACATCGAGCTCAGAACCACAATCGTTACAGCACTTGGTAGTACGGTATTCGTCAACATCTACGACTCTGTAGTGATTCTCGAATCTTCTTCTTATCCACCTGACCGGTACAGGCCTTTCTCCTCGACGTCCTGTAGACGGGAACCTTGCATTTCCATATGCGATAACAGGTTCTATTTCTCCCTTTCCTTTCATTGTACGGATAAACCTGTCGACTGACTTTCGTTTCGAAATGTAGATGTCGAATTTCATCCTGGCGTATTTTCGCTTTGAATAATGCGAAGTTAACTCCTCCCAATGACTTGTAACTGCAAGAAGATAGTCTTCGAATCTTGATAGACTGCCGCCAGACTTACTCGAGAACCCCTTGAGATAGTGCAATGTCGATTGAATATCTTGATCCCACGTCTTTCTTTTCTTTTTATTGCGATTCAGATGTGACTCGTGATAATATTGTTTTCTCGAAAACTGAAATCTTTTTCTGATTATTTGTTGATCATCTCTGAATTGTTCGACGGCCGATATAATGACGCTCCTCCCAGGGTCGATCGCAATTACCCTTGGGCAATTTTTACATTCTTCGATCTCTCTTTGGTATTCTGAATTTTCATGTAATACTTTGTATGATATTGATATCTTCTTCGCCGATTTCCGTTCAGCCCTTTTTCTATCGGCAAGCCATTTGGTAGTGCGCAATGAAGGTTCCTGTTCGAGTCCATCGATTGTTTTGATAATCAACGTGAATCGAAAACAAACCGATACACCGTCTGTCGTGATACTTGTAATCTCCTCTCTCTGATCTCTGAACAGATTCGAACAGTCGAAAATCCACGATCTTCGAAGAACTTCAACATGAACATGTGTGTCTCGATTATCTCAAACAGATTTTTCTGCAACCTATGATCAAATTTGTCATATTTGAAACTAAAAAGATCTTCGTCCCCCGATAATCCAATTAGTTGTTTCATATGGTCGATGAAGGTTCCTATCTGTTGTGAATTATTCCTGTTAAACACTTCTGTCTTCAACTCGTAATCTTTCCTTTGAAACAATACATTCTTCACGTCTTCGATTTCTTGCTGATGGTTAATATGTAACTCTCCTTTGCAGAATTCGGCAATGAACTTTTCCAATCGGTTTGTAAAATTTGCTTTCAGGTCTTGGTAGAAATTCGTTCCATATTGATTTGCAGCGAATACAATAGCTTGCGAGTCTCCTCGAATTCTACATAAATCAACGAAAAGATGTCTTTTCTCTGACCAGAAACGTTGTAGAGTTGGATACTTGTTATCTGTACGGCTATGTTGTTCCATTCCAAGTGTAAAAACATTCCAGAAAAAGGTCGATTTGGCTCTCTTGATTTCATCTACTACATATCGTAAATTCCCTGTATCCCTGCCCCATATCAGAAAACAGTTGAATATCATACTGCCTCTTGATGTGATCTGACTGATATGTAATACCCATCTGTCGATCACGTCTAAAATCGATCTGTTCTCTACCTTGAGTCTCGAGTATAACCCACATTTGACGACTCTCGTGAATGGTTTTGAATAACTTATTTCTTGACCGTTGTCTGAATCATCTGTAATTCGTTTTCTCTTCCTCGGCATGTTATAGTATGTTAGTCTGGCGAAACCATGTTAGATAGCAGGTAGTCGCTACATTTTTTTCATTACCATCGTTTCAGTGTATTGTCGGACCGCAAACTCTGTAATGGCGGGAAGATGAAACGAGCAGTGCCACAAACTTTCCGTCGGAGGCGGGAAGAATTTTTTTTTTCTTTTTTAAGACCCTCATACAGCCCCATTGGATGGGTGATTGAAACCTATCAATGACCCCTGTCATGCTGGTCCAGGACTCCTTCGGGAGTCCTTTTGTCGATTAAAGGTTAAGTCAAAATACTAGGCGTGTTCGGTACGCCAATTAGAGGAGAGGAGAGGAGAGGAGAGGAGAGGAGACGAGAGGAGACGAGAGGAGACGAGAGGAGACGAGAGGAGACGAGAGGAGCGTAGGGGAGGGGAAGGGAGGGGAGGAGGGGAGGAGAGTAGAGAGGAGAGGAAGAGGAGAGGAGACGAGAGGAGAGGAGAGCGTAGGGGAGGGGAGGGGAGGACAAAAGAGGAGGAGAGGGGAGGAGGAGAGGAGGAGGAGAAGAAGGGTCAGGAGGAGTTGGAGAGGAATGACGCGTAAGAGGGAGTGCGGGATGGCTTTAGGTTATTCATAATCATGAAGAAGGATTTTCTGTGGGAGGACGGTATGTATTGAAAGGGGGGTAGAGGAAAGAGAAGAGGAGAGGGGAGGTATGTAGTGAAAGGGGGGTAGAGGAAAGAGAAGAGAAGAGGGGAGGTATGTAGTGAAAGGGGGGTAGAGGAAAGAGGAGAGGAGAGGGGAGGCTGAGGGAGGGAGCAGGATAACTAGATTAAGAAGATGATTCATGGAGGAGAGAACAACTGATCAAAATCAAGAGGGAATGTGATAGCTGCTGAATGCGTCGGGTCAGCCGAATGAAGTAAGAAGTGAACTGAATTCAAAGCCATAGAGGAGGAGGAGGAGGAGGAGGAGGAGGAGGCCATAGAGGAGGAGGAGGAGGAGGAGGAGGAGGAGGACGAGGACGAGGAGGACGAGGACGAGGACGAGGAGGAGGACGAGGAGGAGGACGAGGAGGAGGAGAATGTATCTTATTTTGATCTACTGATTTACTTTCACTTACTCGCATGCATTGTGTTGCTTTACTTTTCTTATCTTATTTATCGATATGATCGAGGGCTCCCGTTTTCTTTGCTTCAGCAGCTCATGTGCAAGTGCCGTTGGCAGCAACGATCGCTAATTTGTTCTCTTCTCTTCTCTTCTCTTCTCTTCTCTTTTGTTCCCATCACCTCTTCCTGCAACTCAGGGAGCTCCTCACCTCTTCTATTTGCTCGATCCTCAGCCCTCTGTCAACCTCCTTGAGCAGAGTGTAGTGCCGCAGCACCTGCGCGTTCGTCCTGCCCTCGTGCAGCAACTTGGCGATCTTGTCCGTCAGCTGCTTGCTCATCCTCACGCCTCCCGCTGACGGCTCCCTCCTCGGGGAGATAGAGCCTTCCTCGCTCATGCTCCTGCGGATCGCCTTTATCCTGAAGATGGAGATGTTTTTCATGTCTGCCATGTTAGAGCAGCGAGCTAGAATCTCCTGATCCCCATACCCCCTCCGCACCAGCTCCCTCACCCTCTCCGCCGCATCTTTCCCTCCTCTCGACATGCTGGGCTGGCTCTTCTCCTCCTCCTCTGCCTCGTTCTGGGCTGGGAGGGAGAAGGGAAGGTGTATCCTTGGCGTTCTGATCACGTTCTTGGTGATCTGCTTGATCGGGTGGTCGCTGCTGTCCAGCTTGGAAGGGTCGAAGAGGTTGGAGATTAGCGACCCCACCATCCTCGCTCCCTCCATTAGGTTCTGCACCTCCTTCTCCAGAGGGCTCTGCTCCGTCCTCCCTCCTCCCACTACCTCTCCCACTACTGCTCCTCCTCCCGCTCCTCCTCCCGCTCCTCCCGCTCCTCCCGCTCCTCCCGCTCCTCGTCTTTCTCTGTGCTCCAGGTGCGGCTCATGCATGTGCCACATCCCCAAGGAGCTGATGGTGTCGACGCTGGAGTAGCTCATGGCGCGAGGAGAGCGAAGAGCTGCTGTCGCCTCCTCCAGCTCCGCCTGATCCACCTGGGTGCAGGCGTTGCGTGTGCTGCTGGCAGCCTTGGATGCTTGGTCTTCCCGCTGCAGAGGAGGAGGCGGCAGAGGAGGAGGCGGGAGGGAGATGCTGGCTAGGAGGCGATCGAGGAGGACGAGAGCTTCATCGTCTGCTCCCTGCAGCAGTCGCTCCCTTAGCTTCATCGCCGCCTCCTGTGCCATGCCCTCCGGCCCTATTGGGAGGGAAGGGAAGGGGACGGAAATTGCGGGAGATGTAGATTGACGGGACGGGGTGGAGGGAGAGGAAGGGAGGAGAGGGAGGGGGGAGGAGAGGGAGGGAGGGAGAGGGAGGGAGGAGGAGGGAAGAAGGGGGCGAGAGCGGAAGGCGGAAGAAAGGAGGATACCATGCAGGAGGACAAGGAGAGGAAGGAGCAGCGAGAAAAGGACTTGATTTGATTGATCATACATAATGAATTTGACGGTCAAAAGCTACAAAATGATCACTTCCTTCTTGGGAAGTATTGATTGGAAACATGACTGCAAGGAAATCAGAGAAGGAGGAGGAGTGAGAGGAGGAGTGAGAGGAGGAGGAGGAGGAGTGAGAGGAGGAGGAGTTGAGAGGAGGAGGG